TTTACAAACAAGCGTCTACCCATGAGCCTTTGCGTTTTTAGCGTGTGTTGTTATCGTCGCTTGGGACTCAATTCTGATTAATGAAAATTACTTAACATGCAAGTATTTTATAATGATTTATGGACAGGGAAATTAAAGAGCCAAAATGAGCTGTCTTATAAATGTTTTCGTTAAAAAAAATCGGTATTCGTTCAATGAAACATATACACACATATGTAATTAACAACTAGTGTTTTGAGTATTTTATCGACGACTAATTTTATGTTTTTCAGCAGAAACTTCGTTTTAATATCAAGATCATTTATACTCTAACGTCTTTATCGAGATACACACATCGTTCTTTAAAGTGGAAGAGAATAATAACTCACAGTACTGTATACAGAGCAGCAGAGAACAGATGAAAAGCAGGATATACAAATTCTGAAAATAAAAAGATAATTAAATCAGTAATTATACAAGTCATTGAAAATGAAACAGTCCCCGTTAATTTTTTTTAAAGTTCTCTTTGTGCTCGTCATAATAAAGTGAAGGGGGTTGTCGTTAGCGTGTCCTTGAAACTTGAGTCCCAAGTGGCGTATACAACAGATTGTTTATTTACATCAACACGTGTTGTGTGACGACCCCTCCGGTTAAAGACATAGCAAAGAAAAACATAGAACACAAGTGACAGCATGTCCAAGTTATCGCATTTTAAACAAACAAGATGGCCGAGAGTCAGCCATATTTGATCAAATTGCAAATTGAATTGACATGTACATGTATCCATTTATGACATGCTATATATCAATGAAAATGATACATGGGTGACAGAGATGTAGTAATATGGCAAAAAAGAAAAAAACATTTGATCTTTGATCTTATTATGAAACAAAGTGACATGTATGATGTATGTGCCAAATACGAATGAAAATGGAATATAAATCTTGGAAATATAGTAGTAAGGCCAAAAAGTCAGATGGCTATCAATCAGCCATCCTTGATCCGATTTAAAACAAATTGTCATGGACATGTATCCTAACATGTATAAAGTATGTGCCAAATTTGAATGAAAACTAACAAAGCACGTCAAAGATACACATTAAAAAAAACAAGATGCCTGCCAGTCGGCCATCTTTGATCAAATCGCGCAAGAAATTGTCGTGAACATGTATTCTAACATAATCT